CCACTCTATTCTGGCTCGTAGGGTTTCTGCTGAGAGATCTGCTGTGATTCTGATGGGCTTCCCTTTGTGGGTAACCCGACCTTTCTCTCTGGCTGCCCTTAGTATTTTCTCCTTCATTTAAACCCTGGTGAATCTGACGATTATGTGCCTTGGGGTTGCTCTTCTTGACGAATATCTTTGTGGTGTTCTCTGTATTTCCTGGACTTGAATGTTGGCCTGCCTTGCTAGGTTGGGGAAGTTTTCCTGGATAATATCCTGAAGAGTATTTTTCCAGCTTGGATTCATTCTCTTCGTCGCATTCAGGTATGCCTATCAAATGTAGATTAGGTCTCTTCACATAATCCCACATTTCTTGGAGACTTTATTCATTCCTTTTTACCCTTTTTTCTCTATTCTTGCCTTCCCGTTTTATTTCATTGAGTTGATCTTCGACCTCTGATATCCTTTCTTCTGCTTGGTCAATTCAGCTGTTGATACTTGTGCATGCTTCGTGAAGTTCTCGTGTTGCGTTTTTCACCTCCATCAATTCATTTATATTCCTTTCTATTTTGTCCATTCTCGTTAGCATTTTGTCAAATCTTTTTTCAAGGTTCTTAGTTTATTTGCATTTGGTTAGAACATGTTCTTTTAGTTCTCAGAAGTCTCTTACTACCCACCTTCTGAAGTCTGATTCTGTCATTTCATCACACTCATTCTCCATCCAACCTTCTTCCCTTGCTGGTGAGGAGTTGTGATCCCTTGTAGGAGGAGAGGTGTTCTGGTTTTGGGTGTTTTCCTCCTTTTTGTGCTGGTTTCTTCCCATCTTTATGGATTTATCCACCTGTCGTCTTTGTAGTTGCTGGCTTTCAGATTGGGTCTCTGAGTGGACGTTCTGTTTGTTGATGATGAGGTTATTTCTGTTTCTTGGTTTTCCTTCTGACAGTCTGGCCCCTCTGCTGTAGGTCTGCTGAGGTCCACTCCAGGCCCTGCTTGCCTGGGGTTCACCTGCAGCAGCTGCTGAACAGTAAGGGTTGTTACCAGTTTTCTTCTTTTGCCATCTTTGTCCCAGAAGGATACCTACCAAGTGTCAATCTGATCTCTCCTTTATGAGGTGACTCTTTGGATATATAGGGGTCAGGGAGCTGCTTGAGGAGACGTTCTCTTCTTTATAGGAGCTCAAATGCTGAGCTGTGAGCTCCGTTGTTCATTCAGAGCTGCTGGGCAGGTACGTTTAGGTCTGCTGCAGCAGAACTCATAAACTGCTTTTTGTTCCCAGGTGCTCTGTCCCAGGGATTTAGGGCTTTATGAGTTTCGGTTATCCTGCTGCCTTCTCTTTTTTTTTTTCCTTCAGAGCTGCCCTGCCCAGCAAGGAGGCAGCCTAGTCACTGCCTGCCTGTAGAGGCTTTGCTGAGCTGCTGTAGGCTCTGCCCAGCTGCCGAGTGAACTTCCCTGCAGTCCTGTTTATATGGGTGTAGTTAGAACTGCCTCGGCAATGGTGGCCCATCCCTGTTAAGGCTGAGTCTCTCTGCAGTGGCGGGTTGCGTTGGCAACGGCGGGCTGCCTCAGCAATGGTGCATTGCCTTGGCAACAGCGGGCTGCCTCAGCATTGGCTGACCGCCTCCGTAGTGGTGGGCTGCCTCGGTAATGGCGGACGCCCCTCCCCCACCAAGCTGGACCGTCCCGGTTTCAGCTGCGCTTGCTGTGAAACTCTCAATCCAGAGAGTTTCTGATTGCTGTTCTTTTGTGGGGGTGGGTCCAGCCGAGCCTGATCGCCTGGCTCCCTGCCTCAGAGCCTTTTTTTTTTTTTTTAATTTGTGTTCCAGTTGCCTGTTGAAGAGGTGCCACGGTGTGTGTTTTTTCCCGTGCGACAACTCACTGTGCTGGCTTAAACAGTGGCACTGAGATTCGTGGTGCTTTTTTTGCCCTGGAATCTACTGTCCTGGCTCCCTGCTCAGTCCCCTTTTATTTTATTTTATTTTTTTTTGAGACGGAGTTTCGCTCTTGTTACCCAGGCTGGAGTGCAATGGCCCGATCTCAGCTCACCGCAACCTCCACCTCCTGGGTTCAGGCAATTCTCCTGCCTCAGCCTCCTGAGTAGCTGTGATTACAGGCATGCGCCACCATGCCCAGCTAGTTTTTTTGTATTTTTAGTAGAGACGGGGTTTCACCATGTTGACCAGGATGGTCTCGATAACTTGACCTCGTGATCCACCCGCCTCGGCCTCCCAAAGTGCTGGGATTACAGGCTTGAGCCACCGCGCCCGGCCTCAGTCCCCTTTTTAAACAGACGAATGAACGACTTCCCGTGGCTCCAATCACCAGCCAAAAGGGCACCCGGACCTGTGTATTTTGTACAGAGAACCACTGCTCTGGGGCGCCGACAAAGCAGCCGCGCGGGGCAAAGCAGCGGCTCCGGCCCGCACAGCCATGCTGGCGACCCGTGGAGCTCCTCCACCTGGGAATTTCCTAGTCTGTGGGCAATAAAAATGTGGCGTCCACTCACCCTCTGCGCTTTCACTGGGAGCTGCAATCCTGAGCTGTTCCTAAACGGCCATCTTGGATCGATCCTCCAAGTCTTATTATTTCAGAGTTTCAAGGTTCACATTTTACATTCACAGTTGAAATGTACTTTGCCAATCCTTGTGACAATCAAAAGAAAGCACCTACGAAAGGCCTGAAACATTTTAGGCACTTGATACATGCTGCCTGCTATCATTTTCATTATTCTCGGTATTTTTGCATAGTGCTAAGCCTGGGGAATCCCTTATGTAATGTCTGGCTTTTTGTCTTTACTGTTAAACTATTACAGAAAGGGTCATTATTCACTGATAAATCGCTTCTCAATTTCTCCGGATATTAAAGGTATGGGATCTCCTATTTAAAATCTCCAGGAATTGCCTAAGCCCCATCTATCCATAAATTACAGGATGGACCTGACTGTCTGATACATGTACAGTCACGAAATCTTACCTACAGGGAAACAGGAAGAATCGTTTCAGAAATACTGCACTAAGGTTGGGCATGATTACTCACAGCTATAATCCCAGTGCTTTAGGGGCCTGAGGCGGGAGTGTCACTTGAGGCCAGGAGTTTGAGACCAACCTGGGGAACACTGTGAGACCCTATCTCTATAAAATATCAAAAAAAATTATCCAGACATGGTGGCACATACCTGTAGTCCTAGCGATTCAGGAGTCTGAGAAGGGAGAATCAGTTTGAGATCAGCCTGGGCAACATAGTGCGACTCTGTCAACACAAAATATAAATAATTTATCTAGGCATGGTGGCACATGGCTGTAGTCCTAGCTACTCAGGAGGCTGAAGCAGGAAGATCACTTGAGGATAGGAGTTCAAGACCAACCTGAGCAAGATAGCAAGACGCTGTCTCTAAAAAAAATTTAAAAGCCAGGTGCGATAGTATGTCCCTACAGACCCAGCTAGTTGGGAGGCTCAGGCAGGAGGATCACTTGAGACCAGGAGCTAGAGGTTATAGTGAGTCATGATCATACCACTGCACTCCAGCCTGGTGACAGAGTGATGCTGTATGTGTGTGTGTGTGTGTTTTAAAAAATATTTTCTCTTGTTTTTAGGGCTTGTCATATCCAACAAAAGGTGATGTTCCACGTCAAATAGTAAGAGGGAGCTGGAGGTGTGGAGGAAAAGAAGCAAGGGGGTCCTTAAGAAGATAGAGATCAGGATAGAAGGGAGGTGAGAATCAGTGGCATAAACAGAGGTAACAGAAGGGGATAGGCCTTTGGGAAAGGAAGAACACTGAAGTTGTTGAAAACAGGACTCAAGACTAGAGACTGTTTAACATATTTCTTTTTCTGATTTCTTCCTATCAGTTAAAGTAAGTTATCTGTGGTGTATCATCTATTCTCCTACCCTTTTAAGGTGACACAAAAATGCACAAGTTTGACGTGCCCCAAGTAACCAAAGGCACTGCAGTTCAAATTTATACCTTTTGAAATCACACCAACTTAGGAATTCAACAGATTGAGCAACGTTGCACCAGACCATATATCTACACAGATCTGGCCAGCTGTTTGGAATGAATAGGAGTTTCCGTAGTAGAAGAATTTGAGATAATAGAAGAGTCTTGTCCCACCTTAGGAAAGTTGCCTAACTAAATTCTCTGCACATCTAAAGAACTCTAAAAGACAGAAGGAAAATACTGACTTCACTCTGACAAAAGGTTACCTAGAAAAAAATCAAAGCATGCAACCACCATGCTATGAAACAAAGTCAGGTGATGGGATGATCTGTGCAGCAAACCACCATGGCAGTGTTTACCCAGGTAATGAACCTGCGTATCCTATCCTGCACATGTACCACTGAAGTTAAAATAAAAGTTGGAAATCAACAATAAAAATAAAAATGAGAGGAAAAAAAGAAAAAAATTAGAGACCAAGAGCAGGGCTTACCTCTCCACTCAAGGAATTTAGAGTTCTTTGATAATGCTGTATTTGACACAAAACTGGGCAGTGTTGGCATTTTGTCCAAGCCTATCCCAAGTAACAAAACAACAACAACAACAACAACAAACAAACAAATATATATATATATATATATATAGTTTTTTTGAAAAGTGACTCACAGAGAGGTTAAAGGCTTTATTAATTGAATTACATCAGAGAGTACTTGAAGACCAGGTGATGTCACAAGTGAAGCATGGTCAAGGTTTTTACAAGATGGGAACGCTTTGAGTAGCTGTCCTTATCCTTTCAATTTTAGCATCAGTTTTCAGCTTAACTAAAACAGTAGATGGGGGCTGTTCATATTTTCTTGTCCCTTCTTTGAAGTCTAGTAACCAACAGAACAATAATTCTGTGAACTCTTTCCAAACCTTGTGGGGTTTTGGATAGCCATGGGCTATGCGAGGTATATTGTTTTTTTAAAAAAGGTTGGGGAGAGGGCACTGGGTGGGGTTGCTCATGCCGGTAAATCTAGCATTTTGGGAGGCCAAGGTGGGAGGAATGCTTGAGCCCAGGACCTTGAGACCAGCTTAGGCAACATAGAGAGATCCCCACCTTCATAACATTAATTTTGTTTTAGCTTTAAAAAAAAAGAAGAAGAAAGAAAAATGGACAAAAGTGGAAGTCAGGGAGGACCCAGAGCACTTGCTATAATGTTTGTTTTAAATCTTCTGCACCTTCATCCCAGAAGGTTCTGAGATCTTCTGGGGTCAACCTTGCTACACCTATCCATTCAGTTACCATTGCGTTGGGGTGGTTCCAAGTGGATCCCAAGTGAATCCCCTAGTTTCTCCGTATCATCCTCCATTCCTCTTCCGGGGCTCAGCAGCCTTACCTCCCCCCCTGCTATTCAGGGTCAATATCTCCTGTCAGAATGACTCTTCTTTTTACCTGCTGGTCCTTGAACAGAAGATGTCCCAGATGCCCTGAGGGCAGCTTGCAGGTCTATGGAACTTTTTCTGGGTCCTCTGGCAAAGGTGCATTCTCTTTGTGGACACCTGCCTAGAGAACAGATAGTTGCAGGGAGGAGAAGCAGATCAATGGATCATCACGTGTAATGGTAAGTGAGGCCACCCAGCTTCTCTTCCTTGGTTCTTGGTCCCATATGTTCTTTCTTTTGGATATACAACACCACATAGGAATCTCTGACTTAATATACACACTGCATTGTGAAGGCTGGCACTCAGTTCTTTCAGAATACTGTTTCTGAGCTGGCACTCTGGCTCTGCCTTCTGCGGGCCATTCTAAGCACTCTGGAAGAATAGATGCTACTTAATATTTGATATACAATAGAAACAATATAATTCATTGCTATGTACCATTCCTGCATCTCATACACTAAATGAATGAATCCTCTGTTCATATGCTGACTTGCGTGAGATTCCATGCTTAAGATCCTACAATCCACCTGGCAGAGACACAACAAAAAAAGAAAAAAAAAGATCCTACAATCCATATGCCATCAGTAGTGATGCCAGCTCAAGCTCTGCAGACAATGTTATAACTAGAATACGTATATTTTCTTGTGTGAACTAATGGCTGGCCCTCCCAGGATTAAAGGGATACAAAGTAGTCAATGTCTCACTAATTTGCTGTTTGGTTTCCTTGAAGAGTAGGCCCTTCCCAGGACCTCAGCCTTGATCTGTGTCACTGGCAAGTTGGACATTTCATGGCAGCAGTGTCTTGATTAACTCCCTTGGCAAGTGGAGTCCATGCTATTGGGCCCAATGTACCTCTATCTCTGCCATCATGACTACCTGTTTTGTGCCCCTTGGGGGCACTCATATCATAGAGATCCTCTCAAGAGTGTGAAGATGTAAAATCATGGCTAAAGCAGAAAGCTGTTATACTTTTGGAAAAAGAACAATACATTTGTGAATTTATTGATCCACAAAAGGATCTAAGCTAGTGACAGTGAATTCCAGGGAAGTCACTAGGAGATATATTGGTGGGGAGTGTCAAGGAGGAGCTATAAAGCTAGTGGGAGATAAGAATTACTTTATTTGTACAGGTCTACCGCAGCAACAATTTCCAATCCTGGGGATAGGGTTATTTTCTTGTCCTGGGACAGGGAAGGCATCTTTCTCCATGGAAGGTTTATGGTTTGCTATATGCAGGAAAAGGCAGGTCAGATAGTCACTTCTGGAACTACAGTTTCCAAAGTGTTTTGAGCTTGAACAGATTGCACAATATCAATTTAGTTTGGTTTTGGCGGCTATAGGGCTTGATTTTGTCACCTGGCCAAGTTATTCCACATTTTTGGAATATTCACCATGCTATCTCCATGTAATCCTTGGTGCCTATCAGTTAGTGAGAGGGGCAAGTCAGCAAATCCAAGTTGCTCAGGGCTGACTTCTGGGCCATCCATAACATCTGGTGATGTGGCAAGAGTTTGGACCATAAGAGTCAGTGTCAGGACCATTTATGAACTTCGTGAGAGGCTTACGTGTGCCATCTGTGGAATGAAATCAGAGTTTGATTGTACTACTGCCTTGGGAAGTTACCTATGAAAGGTCCTGCATCATTTCTGCCTTCAATACATAGGGAAAAATTTCTTTCTAATGTCTTTACCTAAACACAGGTCAGTTTTCAAGGTTTTATTTTATTTTATTTTATTTTTTTGAGACGGAGTTTCGCTCTTGTTACCCAGACTGGAGTGCAATGGCGCGATCTCGGCTCACCGCAACCTCCGCCTCCCGGGTTCAGGCAATTCTCCTGCCCCAGCCTCCTGAGTCGCTGGGATTACAGGCACGCGCCACCATGCCCAGCTAATTTTTTGTATTTTTAGTAGAGACGGGGTTTCACCATGTTGACCAGGATGGTCTCGATCTCTTGACCTCGTGATCCACCTGCCTCGGCCTCCCAAAGTGCTGGGATTACAGGCTTGAGCCACTGCGCCCGGCCTCAAGGTTTTATTAATGTGTCCAATCAACTCATCAGAGCGTGACATTGTTTTGCTGGTCATGGATGCCATACTTGTCATGCATCCATGCTCTGGACTTGATACATCAGGCACTTGCATCAGCAGAAACGAAAACAAGTTCGGATTATTTTGCAAAATCTAGATGCTGATATGCCCAGCAGTCAGATGGGTTAGTTCACATGGCCAGGGTTTGTAAGACTGGAACAAAGGGATGTCAGTTCTGTGCCTAAACTGTTAAGAAAACAGTGAGGGTTAATAACAGTTAAGACACAGTTTGAAAGAAAGTCTATGGTGGAGGATCAGAGGGAGAATCGGATAGACTGAGACCGTCTCCAGTCAGCGTTTTCAATAGATGCTCAAAGAAGACTTTGTGAAGAAAAGAAGACAGCTTTTTGAGGGTTTATTGGAGGGAAAGTAGCGAGACCCAGTTCCTGTTCTACTAACAATGTACAGCCTCACTTGGGCCCTAACACCACAGAGAAGTCCCATGAGGACTGGGGAAGCTATCATGCTCATTCATACAACGTCGCTCATCGATTGAGAATTGCTTTAGATGCATTAACTCCTTCTTGCTTCCAGCCTACTCCATGAATGGTCTGAGCACACCCCCGTAAAGTAGAAAGCCATTAGTGTGTACAGGACTTGTCATCAGCACCTCAAGACAGATAACCTCATGGGTCAGCCTAAGAGGATACAGGTGGGTACCACCAGCATCTGCTGTACCATACTTTCCAGCCCCAAAAACCTTTACTTTTACTCTCATTTCCCTAGGATTGCATTTTCCAAATAAACCATTTAGATTTAATCCCTGCTTCAGCATATGTTTTCTAAGGAACCTGGGTAGAGTAGATGCTGAAAACTCACCCTACATCTTCCTGTCCCACTTGAGTTCACTTGCAGCCACGGCAGACAATTTCTGTGCTCTGAGAGCTTACCACTTCAAGTGTTTGTATCTCAGGTATTCTTTTCCTTACAGCTTTCTCCTGAACCGTGGAGTATTATTCCAAGCTGTGTTTCACATGACTTCTCAGAGAGCCCACAGGAATGACTCCAGTAGTACAAAGAGAAAACTCGTTCATTAGTCTATCCTGTTTTGTGCTTCCCCCAAAAACTAACTTGACCTAAATCCTGTCTCTGGATCTGATTTTTGGGTAATCTAAGTTATAACAGGAGGTAAGACTCTATGCTTGTTATAAAAAGGTTAATTATATCCATCAATCCTGATATAATTGATGATTTAGCTCTAAGTAACTCAATGAATATAAAGTATACAGCTTTTCCAAAAATTCCAAAAATAAGAATATTGCAAAATGCACTGCTTCTTGTAAAAATTTACAAGTAAATTAAGGTGACTCTAACAAATTAACTTTAAAATGCAATATAGGATCCCAATTTACCATCAAAGCAGTGATCAAGGATTTATTGTATAATGTGTATCAGGACAACTCACTACCCATTTGGAAAAGTATACAATTAGATATCTATCTCATTCCTTATAGCAAAATAAATTCCACAATTAAGCATAAAAGCAGAAACCAAAGTAATTCCAGAAAAAAATGGATTATTTCAAAGTAATCTCAAGCAGAAATACAAAACTCAGCAAATATAAGAGAACATTAGGTTGATAAATTTTACTATAATCAACTTCAATGTTTTTTTTTTTTACAATAAACCATTTCAAAAAAGAATAAACTGGAGCAGCTATCTTTTATCTCCATATAGATGTGCAGACTTAAGAAATGTGGAGCTTTCCCTGATTTAACCAGATTATTTTTGATTCACTCCTATCTCCTTGTATGGCTCCACCAGATGTCCTTTACTTTTTTTTGCTAGCACATTTTTGGATCCTCTCCACCTCTATTCCTAGAGGGCATCAAACCATAAAGGAGGGACCACAAAGTGACAGGGGCACACAAGTGGAACTCTTACCATTTTGTAAGGGATGCTTCTGCGAACATATAACATTTAACCTCTATGGAGAGAAAATAGGAGTTTTCCAGGGTAAGGGAATAGGAGGAGGGTGGTAAACAGCATTTGTGGAATGAGGATGGCACGAACAAATACACAGAGAATGACACAGCCAAATATATTCTAAAAATAGGTAGAAATGCAAATGACAAACCATAATGAAACATGATATGCAAAAGGTTGTTTGACTCAATCTACAGAGTGCTATTCAGATGTTAACTGATCGATACAAAGGTTATCTGATTCACTCTGTGTTTTCAAGAGAGAAGGTTTCCAAAAACATTGAGAAGAGACTGAGGAGAAGATACACTGGGGGAAAAAAAAACCAGTAAAGTATGTCGGGTTCAAACAGCAGCATTTTAAATAAACATATTTCAAGTATTCAAAGTTTAATGTAGAGCAAGACCTCCAGTAGTTTAAAAAAGAGGAGTAGAATGACATCCCAAAGGCAGCAAAATATTATTTTTACTTTTTGTGATTAATTTTATGTATTTAATACTCCCTTCAAATTCATTACTTAAGTATTCATTGGGTAGGAAGCACCGCGCACTGTTGCAGGTATTGAGGATACAACGGTGAGCAAAACAGATAAAAACAATCTCGCCCTCATGGAGTTTATACTTTGGTATGTGAAGCAAATACTCCAAAAAAAATCCAAACTGCCAAATTAAGACAAAAAGTTAGGAAGCATACAGGGAGCAAGGTCAGAAGCTTTTATCAGACAATGGTTTATACTTAACAAAAATTCACTTATTTCTGTCTTTTGGTTACCAAATAAACCCAAAAAGTTGGGTAGGACAAATATTATTATCATCCCTATTCCTTTTCATATTTTGAAGTAGAGTGTCAGAAAATTTAATTTTCCCACACTGATAAATGTCAGTAGTAAGGTAAGCCTCACCCCTGGACACTCTGACGCAGACATATCTCATGTCTTTTCCATAAGTCATCTCTACACACAAGAAACATAACAAGGACTAAACAGAACAAGGACTAAACATAACAAGGATGTACCTTTATTTGCTGCTTAAAACAATGAACAATAGATAGAAACATGTAAAGAATCACCTGCACGTAATGACAATGTTTGTGGTACTGACGTAAGGGAAGATCTTTGCAGCTTTCTGGGAATGGTCAGAAATGTGGTGACTTTCAGGGATGTACTAACATTTCTACTGCCAAGAGACTGAAGTGTAATAATGCATGGAATATTAAGTTAGAGACATTTTCTTAACCTGATGAATGAGCCTTAGTCTCCTTGGGACCAGAACGTTGTCGTAGATACATAAGAAGACCAACAGTAAACAGGAAAATAAAAAC